GCCTCTCTCAAGCTTCTCCACATACTTTTTGAACTGTGAAGCCCAAAACTGGATGCAGTACTCCAGCTGCAGCCTCACCCAGGCCGAGTACAGGGAGTACAGGGAGAATGATGTCCTGGGATTTGCTTGAGAAGCATCTATAGATTCAAGCCAGCATTTTGCTTGCTTTACTAGCTGCAGCATCACATTGATGGCTCATGTTCATCTTGTGGTCAGTCATAACCACCAAGTCCCTTTCATCTAGTGTTAGCCAGCGTAGCCTATTAGCATTTGGCAGGCTTTTCTTCACAAGGTGGAGAACCTTGCATTTTTTGGTGTTAAACACCATCAGGTTCTCATCTGTCCATTTCCTGAGCCTGGCAAGGTCAGCCTAGATCACCCTCCTGTCCTCAGGTGTGGATGCTTTACCCCAAGGTTTGGTGTCGTTGGTGAACTTGGCCAGTCTGCTTCTGATACCAATGTCCACATCATTAATGAAGATGTTGAATAGTATGGGCCCAAGGAAGGAGCCTTAGGGGACCCCAGTGGTCATAGTGCACCATGACAATTAATTTCCATCAACAACCACCCTCTGGGTCCGACCACGGAGCCAATTCCCTAGCCCCAGACCATGGTGAAGCCGACGCTGCAGTTGGCCAGTTTTGCTAAGACGTGGTCATGGGATACCAGATCAAAGGCTTTTTTAAAGTCAAGATATATGACATCAATCTCTTCTCCCTTGTCCAGGTGATAGGTCACCTGGTCATAAAAGGAAATAAGATTGGTCAAGCAAGACCTACCCTGTGCTGGCTATCCCTCAGGATGTTGCCATCGGCCAGTCTGTTAAGAATGGCCTCTTTGATAATCTTTCCTAAGACCTTCCCTGTGATAGAGGTCAGGCTGATGGGCCTGTAGTTTGCCGGATCCACTTTCTTCCCTTTCTTGAAGATAGGCACCACATTGTTCTTCTTCCAATCTTCGGGCACTTCACCAGAGTGCCAGGAGTTCTTGAAGATCCATGCCAGGGGCTGAGCTATGATGCTTGCCAGCTCCTTGAGTACCCTGGGATGTAAACTGTCAGGGTTGGCTAACTTGAAGGTATGCAGCCCCTCAAGGTGTTCCTTCACAAGGTCAGCATTGATGGAGCATAAGGAATCTCCCTAACCCAGGCCTTTCTGTCCCATAATGGGCAGGGGCATCCCTTGGGACTGGTGAAAAACTGGCTCAAAGTACCCATTTAGGAAGTTGGCTTTTTCTTGGGCATCAGTTGACAGTTGTCCCATCCGGTTTAGCAGGGGTCCAATGTTACCCTTGCTTTTCCTCTGGCCCCCACATATCTAAAAAAGGACTTTTTATTGTTCTTGATACTTGTAGCTACTTGGAGCTCAGTCGCAGCCTTGGCTTTTCTGGTTCACTCCCTGCAGGTCTGGACCAGTGCAGAATATTCCTCCTTCCTCGGTCTTTCTTTTTAGATGCAGGAGGTCTGCTAGTTCCCTGCAGAGCTAGGGGGGCTGCTGTGCCCTTTTGCTGCCCTTCCTCAGAGATGAGATAGACTTTGCTGGTGCATCCAGGATCACTCCCTTGAGGAGCAACCACTCATCCTGAACTCCCCTCCTCTTTGGGTTATGGTCCCTTAGGGCCTTACTGACAAGCCTCCTGAGCTTGTCAAAGTCAGCTTTCCTGAAGTCGAGGACTTCTGTATTGCTGACTGACAGCTACTGTATTGCTGACAGCTTTACGGCGGATGGTGAAGGTGATCAGCTCATGGTCACTGTCACCCAACTTCCCTTCGATTGTTAGGTCACTGATTAGATCATCCCCCATTGCCAATACCAGGTTGAGCAGTGCTTTACAGGCTGACAAGAGGTAGACTTCTTGAGTCAGATAGAGCTCATTCATGCATGAGAGAACTTTGAGACTGTTTGGATTTGATCGAGATGCCTGGGTTTGGATTTCCCATGAGATGTCTGTGTAGTTGAAGTCTCCCATGACAACAATGCACCAGGAGTGTGCAGCCTCAGCCAATCCCCTGGCAAACTCCTGGTCAAGCTCTTGATCCTGGGTAGGAGGTCTGTAGTAGACTCCCACCATTGTGTCCCCTGTGCTGTGTTCCCCATGGATTTTAACCCAGAAGGTCTCTAGTCATCCACCCTGGGTGCCAATGTCAGCTTGCAGGGACGCGTAGCTTTTCTTGACATAGAGAGCTACTGAGAGCTACACCCCCACCCCCACCCCTTTTGTCCACTTGATCTCTCCTGTGCAGGGTATAGGCGTGTGTACCTGTGGCCCAGTCATGGGTGGAGTCCCACCAGGTCTCTCTTATCCCTATGACATCATCATTATTTGTGTTAAGGAGGAAGACAAGTTCCTCCTGTTTATTCCCCAAGGTCCTGGCATTTGTATACAGGCAGGAAAGTGTCCCTTTGGGGGCCCTTGCCTTGCCCACAGATCGTTCCAGCGCTGGGGCAGGGGTAGGCTCCCTTAAGTGCCTTGACCTGCTGGCTTTGCAAGGGTTGCTCAGTGGGCCAGCAGTGGCGGTAGTCCCCCCATCATCCGGCTGGTTTAGTTTAAAGCCCGGTGGAGCGGGTCAACCAATCTGGCTTAGAAGAGCCTCCTCCCCAGCAGAGAGAGGTAGAGGCCATGTGGAGAATGGAAATAAGCTTCAGCTTCTGCCACTGGCTCCCAAGGAGAAGGGTGGGAAGCAGGCAGGGTTTTTCCCACACAAGGGGGGTGAGGCGCCTACTATTCAGACTGCGGAGGTCAAGAAGGGCAGTAACCAAGAATATCTCCTCCATGATTCAGAGGAGAAACTCAAGCCTCATTTCCTTCCTTAGTGGAAGGTCCGCAATGCGACCTGAGCCCTTTGCCACTGCAGTAAGCAGAGCTTGTTTTGTGGCCAGTAGCAATGACTCCAAAGTTACAAGGCTGCAATGGAGAGGTAGTTGCAGAGGTGGGCAAGTAGGGTGAAGAGCCCACAGGCCTGGTACAAATTTACCATGACCTGAGGAAAGCACTTTTTTTTAATGGAAAAACTAAAGTCTAAAATCGTCATAGACTACAGTAGCAAGAATTATTTTTAAAGGCACACATGCTACAGTAGTCTATATGAGGATTTTATGTAGTGATTTCCTGCAGTGTAGAAGTGCATTTTCTGAGACATGTCCAGTAACCATGAAGGAGTTGCTAGGGAGGGAGTATGCCACAGCACCACCCTGGGTGCTAAGAGCAAGGGGAGCTAGGGAGGGAGTTTGCCTGAGCTAAGAGCCAATCTCCCAGCCATGGGGCAAGAGGGAGCTAGAGGTCTTGGCCAGCAAACAAGAAGACGGCTTTGTGACCAGCACCATTTGTGAAGTTACAGGTTGCAACAGAGGGGAGGTCTTGGCCAGCAGCCAAGAAGAAGTTTTGAGATTAAAGAACGGAAAGGTGTTGCTTATGCCAAACTATGAACAAGCCTCAGCTTCTGCCACTCCTCCCAAGAAGGGTGGGAAGCAGGCAGGGTTTTCTCCACAATGCAAGAAGCTTTCCATGGGTAAGCCTGGGTGAAGAGGACTTAGGCAGCAACCAAGAAGGCCAGCAACCAAGAAGAAGGCCTACGCAATTCAGAGGAGAAACTAAAGCTGCAGGTTTCTTAGTGGCAGCCCCCTCCTCCCCATGATCCGAGCCCTCTGCAGCAAATTCTGCAGCAATGAATGAAATGTGCTTGCACAACTTGCCCAGCTGGTATGGATGCAGGACATGGCCAGTAACCAGGAGGAGGGCGAGAAGACTATGTGGGCCTGGAGAACTTGTGCAAATAGATCTGATGGTCGGGCCAAAGAGCCTCAGCTTTCACCACTGCAGTGGTCCTGGCTTCCAAGGAGAAGGTTGGGAAGCAGGCAGGGGTTTCCCCACACAGGAAGCTTTCTCTCAGCAAGGATTCCAAAGTTACAAGGGTGCAAAGAAGAGGTGTAAAGTACAGGGCAAGTGGGCCGAAATGCCTACTACCCAGAACACGAAGGTCTTGACCAGCAACCAAGAAGGCCATCAACCAAGAAGAAGGCCCCCACAATTCAGAGGAGAAACTCAAGCTACAGCCTCCTTAGAAAATATAGAGATTTCCTGCATTTCAGAGAAACTGACTGCTCTAAACTGACTGATTGATTATTAGATTGATGGTGTGTGTGTAAGGACCAGCCTCCAGTAACCATGAAGGAGGTGCTAGGGAGGGAGTATGCCAGAGCACCACAGTGCTAAGAGCCCCAGTCAGGGGGTAAGAGGGAGCTAGGGAGGGTGCGAAGGGTGCAGTGGAGGGGAGGTCTTGGCCAGCAACCA